GGCACATCCCCAGTGGGGGCTGTGCAAGAGGCAGCTGATCGATGACTCTTTCTCATCAATGTTTCTAAGTCTCTGTCCCTCTCTCTTCCCCTCTGTGAAAAATCAATAAAATATATTTTTTAAAAATTATTACAGATATAAACCTGAGAGGAAAGAGGTGAGTTGGAAATGAAAAGACACTACAAATATGTATAGCAATAGACAAAAAAAATTATAATAAACTTAAAAGGAAATTATATATCCAGATAGTTATATAATACCATGGTAATATATTTAAAGGAAGGACCCATGCTCTCCCTAGCTGTGAAGGAAGACTAGAAACCTGAGACACAGATGCCTCTCTGATCAAAAGGAACTTACTTCAGACACACTAGGCAGATTTATATCATTTTAAATTTTGCATGTGCTCTCAAAGTTGATGGTTTCCTATAACTGATCAGATAGTGTTACGAAGTGAATGGGATATTTATTTATATCTTTCATAATGACTTCGAACAATTCCCATTATTATCTCATGTTTCTTTTATTATTGACAATTAAAATGATAAAACTGCCAGAATCATTCTTGTAAAAGGCTTATAGAAGGAAGAAAACACATTTTCATTTGGAAATGAGCATCATTGCTTCCTAAAATAGAATAAAACAGTGGTGGTGGGGAGAGAGATGGGAGCAGTCTGGAATATGTTAATGGGAGGAAAAGGAGGACCCATGTAATACTTTCAACAATAAAAAAAATTCTATGGTTTATAAACAATCAGTGTGGTTTATTGTTAAATCTGGGTGTCCCACCACCCCCAAAAAAATTTGTTTTAAAAGATCTCTATCAATTCATTTGGAAGAAATGTTGGAGTTACACCAGCATCTCATTTCCAGGATATTATATCACTCAATCATCCCTCGTGTGAGGACCCAGCCTTTGAAGGCTCTCAAAATGCAGAGTAAAAGTTGAAAAAATATTCAACAAATATTTCATATGGAAATACAAATAATTCTAAAAGACCATATTTTATTCAATTACAGAACTAAAGGATAGAAATACAACTCTAGGGAAGAAAGTTAAGAGAAAATATTTCATAGATTCAAATAAGTCAACTTTTATCTTTAAATGGGAAAAGCATGTTAAAGGTTAAACCTGGAAAACAAGTTATAATGAAATCTCAATGTCCAAGTTCTACTAGCAAAGGGAAACTTTAGGAATTAATAGAAAGCCCTAGCTGGGTGGCTCAATTGGTTGGAGCGTCTTCCCTTACACCAAAAGGTAGTAGGTTTAATTCCAGTCAGTTGCAGGTATGGGAGGCAACTGATCTATGTTTTAAAGTCCAATAACTTGTAAAGTGCTCACTAAGTAATATTCCAGTTTTATAATTGTTTGTTTTCTATGATGTTTCATACTCATACTTCTGACCTTTTGTTTTTCACCATATCTGGAATTGCACAGAGATATATTAAAAGACAAACTAGTTTATACAGGGCAAAGAATAAATCGCAAACCCAAATGACTGCTTAATCATTACTGATAGATGCCAGTACTAAGTAACAAAACTACTTTTCTTTCTAAGACTAGCAAACAAAACAAAAACAGATTTGACCTCGTTATCTCTCTGCTTAAACTTCCTTCCACAAGAACAACCACCCCAAACTGACCCTAGTTCTTTATCTTATCTTCTAAATTCCTTAGCATGACATTTAAGGTCTTTCTGCAACCTGGGCCTTTTAAAGTATTCCTTTCAATTCCAATTCTTGGGTTTTCCCTACCACCCAGTACTCTTTTTGCCTTTTTAAAAAATATATATTTTTGTTGATTTGAAAGAGGAAGGAGGGGGGAGGGGGAGAAGAAGGGGGGAAGAAGGAAGGGAGAAGAGAGGAAGGGGGAGGGGTAGAAACATCAATGATGAGAGAGAACCACTGATCAGCTGCCTCTTGCATGCCCCACACTGGGGATCCAGCCCACAACTTGAGCATGTGCCCTGACCAGGAATCAAACTGTGACCTCCTGGTTCACAGATTGCTGCTCAGCCACTAAGCCAAGCTGGCTGGGCCCTTTATGCTTCTTTTTAAAACAGACAAACAAACAAAAAAATACTTTTTTAAATTGCTTTCAGAGAGGAAGGGAGGAGATGGAAAGACCAACAATGAGAGAATCATTGATAGGCTGCCTCCTGCATGCCCCCTACTGGAGATGGAACCCATAACCTGGGCATGTGCCCTTGGCTGAATTAAGCCTCGGACTGAGAAGGCCAATGCTCTATCCACTGAGCAAAACCAGCTAGGGCCCTTTTCGCTTCTTGACTGTTTAGTTCCTTTTTTTTTTTTTCTTCTTATTTTGCAATCTTTTTCTTGTCTTTTATTGATTTTTTAGAGGTAGGAAGGGTGAGAGACAAACAACAATGTGCATCAGCCGCCCCCCTACTAGAGCTCAGTAGGAATTGAATCCACACTTGCTTATGTGTCCTAAACAGACATAGAACCTGCCACCTTTTGGTGTAAGGGATAACACTCCAACCAACTGAGCAACACTGGCCAGGCCTAAACATGCCTTGCATTTTCATACCCCAGACTTCTTTCGGTTCATGCTGTAACCCCTCCACGGACACTGCCCTCCTACCCCAACCCATCAAATCCCTCAAGGTCATAACTAACTTAAATGTCGCCAAAATAATGGCAGAGTTTTTCCTACCTACCAGGCTTACTATTGAGTACCCAACTGGTAGACAGGCAAAAATATTGAAATGAATTAATTATCTGCTTAAAGGAATAATTATAAACAGCAGAAATCAAGCACATTCTATATTGACTAGTATAAACAGTAATTGATTTGTCCTTACAGATTTAACATCCTGATTACAACTGATATTCTGGCATCCCTTGAGCATTCACAAAATTTTTAAGGGTAAGAAAAATATTTCTTTAAGCCCTGGCATATTTGGCTTAGTGGATAGAGTCAGCCTAAGGACTGAAGGGTCTCGGGTTCATTCTGGTCAAGGGGACATACCTTGGTTGCAGGCTCTATCCCTGGCATATTCTAGAGACAACCAATCGATGTGTCTCTCTCACATAGATGTTTCTCTCTGTGTGTGTCTCTCCCCCTCCCTTCCACTCTCTCTGAAAAATAAATATAAATAATTTAAAAAATTGTTCATTAAGACATAATGCATATTTTTTAAAAACCAAGAAAAGACACAATCCTTAAATCACATGGGTTTACAATAGTCTAAAACACTTGGGATCTTTTTTTAAATAATTGTGTTCCAATTTCAAAACTATTTAAAAAACAAAATTTTAGTAAATTCAAAAGAAGAAAACAATGCTCATAAATGTCTTTGTATATGTTGCAGAGAACAGTGCAAAACCTACAATACTATTCACATTCAAACCCATTAAACAACTAATGGAGGTAAAGACTGTAATATTAATAAGTATGGCTGATCCAAAAGATATTAAGGCCAAGCCATCACTTCTGACTTACGGGGGGGGGGGGGGGGGGATTCAACCTCTAATTCCCAGGATAAACGATAAAGCATCTGTTGCAAAAATTAGATGTTGGCTGACCTGATGTAAAAAGCCCAGCAGCAAGCACTAGCAGGCATGGCTTAGTTGGTTGGAATGTCCTCCTCCCAACTCCCATACACCAAAAGGCTGAGGGCTCCATCCCCGGTCAGGGCGCATCTGAAGGCGCATCCAGGTCCCTCTCAAATCAATAAGCCTGTTCTTGGGTGAGGATTTTTTTTTTTTTTAAAGCACAGTAAACTTTCACTAACAACCTGGATAAAATAGGTCGGTCTAACAATCGTGTAGTTGTGTTTTTTTTTTTTTTAAAGTTTTTATTTTTATGTATTTTATTGATTTTTTTTTTTTTTTTTTTTTTTTTACAGAAAGGAAGAGAAGAATAGAGAGCTAGAAACATCATCGATCAGCTGCCTCCTGCGCACCCTCCACTAGGGGGGATGTGCCCGCAACCTAGGTACATGCCCTTGACCTGAATCGAACCCGGGACCCCCCTCCCCCGCCCCCCAGTCCGCAGGCCCACGCTCTAGCCACTGAGCCACCCCGGTTTAGGCAATCGTGTGGTTTCGTTCTTTTACAAACAGGACAGACATCTTTCCAAAGTTTCCAGGGGATCATTTGGAGGTTTCTCTTCTCAACTATTACCAAAATCTGTAAGAGAGTGAGTCCCGCCTTCGCCTGCCCCATGCGTGAGCACCCCAAATCTCAGGACCAGGGAGCGGACGTCCAAGACAGAGGAACCGCACACGCCCCCCCCCCTGCGACCTCGCGGGGGGGGAAAGCGGCTTTTCCGGCATCGCCGCTGCCGGTGGCGGGGCCGGGCCTCCGGCAGGGCCGGCCCGGACGTTCCTGAATTTGTGAAAGTGAAGCTGGAATCACTCCCCCACCCACAGGCGCCCGCCAGCCCCCCGTCGGACACGGGCTCCCGGTCAAACACGACGGCGGCGAGCGACCTCCGACCTCCGGGGCCGCGGCGATGACAGGCCCAACTGGGTTAGGGTTACGGTTACACTCGGGGTGCACACCGACACCCCTTTGTCCGCCCAACTTGGGCGCTCACTTCGGCTCCGTCCGAGGCACGGGCGTGCTCGCGGGGCCGCGGAAATCAGTTTCCCGGAGTCCGGCAGGGCCCGGGCCCCCCCACCCGCTCCGAGGCCGCCCCGCCCCGGCCTCCCCGGACCCCGCACCCGCGGCCGCGGCGCCACGCCAGCCCCGGGATCCGAGGGATGGCGGCCCGCGCCGGCTCCTCCGGGCCCCCGGCGGGCTCGGGCCTAGGGTTCCCGGGCGGAAACAGCCCGGCCCCGGCTTCCCACAGCCTCCTCCCCGGTGCAGGGCGCCTCCCCGCCCCGCCGGCCCCCGCCCCGCGCGCCGCGGCCCGATCCCCGCGCCCCGGCCCGCCCGGCCCGCCCCGGGCGCCCGCCCCGCCGCGCAGGCCGCCCGCCGGCCTAGGCCCCGCGCTCCCTCCCCCCCCCCCCCCGGCCGCCCGCCCGCCTCACCGTTCTGCGGCGGCGGCGCCGGGCCCGGGCCCGCGGCGGCTCCGGAGGCGGCGGCTCCCCCGAGTCTGGGCTGGCTGCGGGCGCCGGCGGCGCGCTGAGGGGACCCGGCGGGGGCCGACATGACGGCGCTGCTGGCGCGGCGGCTCCGCGGCGGGAGGTGGGCGGGGGCGCGGGGGGCGGGGCCGGGCGGAGAGGAAGAGGAAGGAACGTGCCGGCGTCACCGCGGGAGTCGCCGGGGCTGCGGCCTAGGTCTCGCTCCGAGGAGAAGAGCGAGCGGCCGCGGGACCGGGGATCCTGGCCCGCTCCGCCCGGCCCGGCCCGGCCCAACCGAGCGCCAGGCCGCGGGATTCCCACCCCGGGCAGCAGCCTCCCGGCCCGGCCCCGCCGCCGCCACGCCCCCTGCCGGCCGGAGCGGGGCAGCCCATTCCCGAGGCCGGGCAGCCTTGGCCTGGGCCTCGCCGCCAGCCCTGGAGGGAGGGAGCTCGCTAGAAGGGGCCTTGGGGGCGCGCTCCGTGGGGGATCCGGGGTGCGGGGTGGGGAGGCTGGGACGCTAGCCTCGCCGGGGCCGCAGGGCCCGCAGGCGATCCGACAGCCGGAGCCCAATAGGAGCTGATCCCACCCACCCTTACTCGGAAGGGCAATCCTGGGTTTGATAAACAGGAGAGTCTCTACAAGAAGAGCATTATTCAAAACTTTCGCCACCCACCTAAATCTAGAGAAGGGGAAGGGGGAAAGAGTAAGGGAAACTCGAAGACGAGTTTTATCTCCTTCCTGATTTTTGCCAAGGGTTGGCTCGTTTGGTCTCCTCTAAAAAGCGGAACTCTGGCTTGCTTTGTTTACACTACTGAAATCTCTGAATCTCTCTGGCCAGTCCCTGCATGCGGACTGGCAAGCAAGACCTGGACTACATTTCCTAAGTCCTTTTGTAGTCTTGCAACCTTGATTGTGCCACCCTTATTCTGTACTAGAAAGACTGCTATGAAACATTGAATTCAGAATGTGATATGGCAAAAGGATATTTCTGAAAGTCTAATTTATTGAATGACTCAAAAAGTGTTGATCATCTGCCGTGGATAAGAGCCTCGATCTGCGGCCTGAGGGTACCAGATTTGATTCCGGTTAAGGGCATATGCCCAGGTTGGGGGCTCGATCCCCGATTCTCTTTTATCATTGATGTTTCTCTCCCTCTCCCCTCCTCTCTGAAATCAATAAAAATATATTTTTTAAAAATAATAATAATACGAAGTGTCCCTTTAGCTGTTGCCATGAATTAGTGATTTCTAATGCTTCAAAATGCACCAAATGAATTGCAAAAGGATTTCAATGGTTGGATTTGTATTTTTGTTATAGAATAGTAAGAAGCTACCAAAATTCCAGAACAAGTGGAATAGGGAAACTAAGACAGATAGTTAAATAGCTAGTAAATTCTATTTTTCTCTAAACCAAGAACACTAATAGTAAATGGTTTTCACTTCCCTTCCCCAACCAGAGGGTAAGTAGCTTAAACCACCCTACTCAGAGAGACAGATAACAGAAATCCAATTAAGTACTATTTTCCCACCACACCCAAGGACAAATTGAGATAATAAATTTAATTTTGGTACATCAGCATAAAGCTGATAAAGGTTCTATTAATTCTCCACTAAGAACTCAGCCTAAACACCCAGCCTTTAAAACCCCTGAAAACAAAGGTCCCAGCACTCTCCCTTCAGGAGCCCTTATCCTTCCCCTCCACCATCTCCCCCAGCCCTGCACCCCCTCACTATCCCTTAACCTCCAAGGAACCCTGTGAGACTGGCAACCAGGGGAGCAATGGGCAGCAGCAGCTCAGTCCAACCCACTCTCCCTCCAGGGAGCATACCAGCGCCATTGTCTGCCCGCCCGCTAAGGCACTTATCCCCTCCCCTCTAAGGGTCTCCTCCAGACTGGCAACCAGGGGAATAATGAGCAGCAGCACCTCATCCTGAGCTAACCCCCTGCACCTGTCTCCAAGGCTCCTTTCTCTCTGACTTCCCAGTGAGCCACAGCAGCCCAGCCTAGGCTTTCCTGTTTCCTGTTGCTTCTTCTATGCCCTTCCTTATTTTTTCTGTGGCCAATAAATTCATCCTTGCTTTTCTATACTTTGTCTCTCTCTTTAAAAACAAACAAACAAACAAACAAACAAAAAAATCCCTCACATTTATCTTTAAAATAAATTTTATTTATTTATTTAGAGGAAGGGAAAGGGAAAAAAAGATAAAAATATCAATGTTAATTCAAGCTGGTTTTGTTCAGAGGATAGAGCGTCAGCCTGGGGACCAAAGAGTCCCAGGTTCAATTCCAGACAAGGGTAAGTACCTTGGCGGCAGGCTCCTCCCCGGCCTGGGCCCTGTTTATCTCACATCAATGTTTCTCTGTCTTTTCCTCTCTCTTCCACTCTCCCTAAAAATCAATGGAAAAATATCCTCTGGGGAGGATTAACAACAACAACAAATCCATGATAGAAAACTTGACAGAGAACTATGGATTAGCTGCATTCTGCCCACCCCCCACTGGAGATGGAGCCCAAAACCCAGGTATCGATATATGCCCTGACCAAGAATCAGACTAGCAACCTCTTGGTGCATGAGAGGACACTCAACCAACTAAGCCATGCTGGCCCAGGTACACTTAGTTGAAATCTTTTTTTTTTTTTTTTTTTTAGATATATTTTATTGATTTTTCACAGAGAAGAAGAGAGAAGGATAGAGAGTTAGAAACATCAGTGAGAGAGAATCATCGATCAGCTGCCTCTTGCACACCCCCTACTGGGGATGTGCCCGCAACCAAGGTACATGCCCTTGACCGGAATCGAACCCGGGACCTTTCAGTCCACAGGCCGACGCTCTATCCACTGAGCCAAACCGGTCTTGGCTTGCTGAAATCTTTTTGTCAAGAAGACAAGAACTGAGGCCTTGCTGTCTTCCTGGGAATACTTTGGGGACTGAGGACTTTCAACAATACATTATGGGAGATAAGCACGAAAGGGCACGTCCTTTCCCACAGGCTGTCCAGCTTCACAGAAACCTAAGCCCAAATACGCAAAAGATCACACTCTGCTTCCTCAAGACGACACAATTACAGGTTTCAACACTTAGCAGTCCTTTGAAAAAATGTTTCAAAAAAAACAAAAACCTCTGGATTAAGGACTACAGTTACATGCACTAAGGAGTAACACTGGAATGTATCGTCCTGGGTGTAAGAAGCCCGTTATAATCAGAGGTATGTGGAATGAAGGTGAACCCTATCTCTTTTGGAGAGACTTCTAAATAGAGGGAGTGGGATGGTATTAACAGATCTTCCTCCACAATCTTTATCACTTAAATTGCTTCCACAAGTCCACTAATTGGCCATAGTCTTTTTCTAGCATGTTTTTTTTTTTTTGCATGGCAGATCCTATAACCTTTATGACAATGTTATTTCACTCTACTGCTTTATGTTCCATGACTGCTGTCAGTGAGGAGGAATAGGATGGGTTGAATGCGTACAGTGTACTAGGCATTGTGCTCATCACTTTGAGTGTATTTCCTTCCCCCATTTAGTCCTCACAATAACTGGGATTTTTTCTTATTCCCATTTTACCAGTAAGGACCAAAGGTTTGTAGATTTCAAGTAATCTTAGTAAAAATCATGAAGTAGTAAACAGTAGAACCAGAGATCAAACCAGTCTATTATTAGCTCAAAAAAATCTGCTTTATCCACTACAAACTGTAGTGAGTTAACTTACATCTTCTTTCATAAAGCCATGCTAATCAGGATGTACTATTTTGCTTGTCAAAGGAATTCCGTTTTACATATTTAGAATATATCCCAGTGTCTTCAGAATGGTGGATCTCAGTGTTTGCAATGCAAACTCTCAAGACCTACTGAATGCTGGAGTTAGGACCCAACAAGCTCTCCGGGTGATTCCGATGCACAGGAAAATTTGAGAACCACTGCTTTTGAATAACAAAGTTAAGCTGAATTAGTTCATTCTTTTTGATATTGGGATGTGATGGCCCTTTTCTTCAAAAGACATCTCTGCAATTTTTTGCCAGTCACTAAAAGTGAAAGTTTGTGGAGTGCAAGATCATTGTAGATGAATTGAAGCAAGCAATTGTCAGTACCAGCAGCAAGGCAGACACCCCAGGGCATCTCGCTGGCCTGGTGTGCTGATGGCCAGATTCTCTTTGCATGAAACCCAGACAAACTGGTTCGAATGTGACAGGTGACCATTGGCACCTGCTAGAAATATATGGCAGAGCTTTAGTAATAAAATGTTTTTACTTAAAAAAAAAAAAGTGAAAGTTGTATGTGTGTGATTCAAGTGCCAGGAATACCAAATATGATGGCTCCTTTGTCCATTCAGATTGACAGGCTGTGTTGAGACAAATGCCGAGGTCAAGTCAGTGTTCAGGGAGAAAGAGTGCTATAATTGAAACTAATTCCTGTCACGGGTGCAGAAGGGACATTTTTCTGAGTGTCAAACTGTGACGACATGCCGCTGTTTGTCACCCCCAACTTAGGGCACATATTTTCTCTAGAACAGAAGTTGTGGAAGCTTTAGACCTTTCTTTATCGCAACCTTGCTTCACGTCTTTCTCAGGCAGCAGTTTAATTATCTAGTTTTGAAATCACGTCCAACCTTCTTTTTCAAGTTTCAAGTACTTATAAAACAGTGCAAACCCCGACACACAATACACCAACGTGAGCTCGTGCCTTTCAAGGAGAAGAATTTCCTGGTTAAGGGGGGAAACTGTGCAGGTGGCTTTATTCTAAGTTTGGACCTTCTTTACTCAGTTTGCTGTGTTCTACATTCACTGAGTGGAACTTGTACTGGTCGCTGGGAGCCAGTTTGTTCCACGGCTCTGGGTGATTCTTTCCCACAGACAACTGGATTGAACATTGCCAGGCGCAAGACAAACAGCGCTGCCCCCGTACCTCTGGCTCCCATAAATGCAAAGAGGAAGATCAAAGTTGAATGCTTCTTGGCCTGAGGACCTGACGGAGCATGATTGCAGCAGAGAACCCGGAAGCAGAGAAAAACAAAAGCGCACAGGGGACAGAGAGCACCTGAGATGAGCGGATTTCCAAAATCTCCCACGACCCCAGGCTCCGAGGGCA